GGCGGGGAAACAAAGATGAATAAAGAGGGAAAATGAAGATGGTGAAAAAAAGGGGGGAAATAGTGAAAAAAATGAAAATGGAAAAAAGTTGATAAAATAGTGTTTAAGGGCAATTATGCCTTTTCACATGCCTTAATGGTTATATTTCATTTTTTTTAGAAAGATGGCTAGATTTCATGTTTTGTTTTGCTTAAGTGCTATAAAGCACAATTACCACATTTAATTTTATTAATATATCAAAATACATTTTTTTTTTCAACTATGTGGTATCCCCATATTCATCCGAGGTTTCACCACGCACTCCCAAGCCACTCCGAGCTCACCGTATTGGTGCTGCTTAACCGATTTATGGCCCTTAACGGGCTACGGGCTACGGACTCCCACACCCAGAGACGTGGAACTAATCCACTCAGTAAAGTAGGAGTTCCCCATCCCTGACTCTCATGATAGTCAAGATCGAACTCTTGAGCTCTGGCTTCGACAAGACTTTAATCTCCACAAGCAACCAAGTGCCCTCACGCCCTATTGGAGTGTTGAATGTTGGGTTTATGATTGTACTTACTTGGACACACAGTTGATAAAGAAAAAAACGCCACGTAAAAGCGAGACATCGTCAGACATCACCCTTATCATTCCCAGGTGGGTTCCCCTCACATGCTCACAAGTACCCTTCCTTTTATTTTCATTTATTTATATGCAAAAAAAAAAAAAAACAAAAAACGATGATATAACAAATTTAAATTTGTTAAATGGGGTGTGGGAAATGCTAAGGTCCCGTTACGCAACCATTCCCTCGGGGTTTGTAACTGTTAGATCAACTATCTCTGACGGTTACATGATGATCTAACGGTTACAAACCCGACGGAATGGTTCCGTAACGGGACCGTATCATCTTCCATGGGGTGTATATTTCTTTTCTTTTCCAAAATATCTCAAATAAGGTTTTTATTAGGAACCTAATTATTTTCTCGTTATATGGGGTGTATATTTCTTTTCTTTTTTTTTTCAGTTACAAATTTAAATTTGTTAAATTGTAAATTATACTTTCGTTTTTGCATTATTTTCAATATATATTACCACCTTTTTAGATTTTGACAAATTAAAAACTAAACAAAAATAATAAAATTTAATATTCACCTGAAATTGACAAAAAGGAATTTACTCTCATAAAAAAAAAAAAAAGAGTCCAACTTCATTTAAAGCAAATTAAACCCAAGTAAAAACTCAACCTCCTTTTGTACTTGCATTTGATGATGAGCTCAAGTGAAAGAGCGGTAAGCGTGAATCCCAAAGGGCCCGCCCGCTTCCACGCATTGTACTTCCTGCAATCCAAAAAGTACAGTACCCCTACTGCTGATATAACATGCATCTAAAGAAGGTTCACAAAGTACCTTATTTCGTTTCATTTTACACGAAAAAACCAACACACACACACACACACACACACTCTCTCTCATGGAAGAAAATCAAACGGAAGAACAAGACGACGAGAGGCCGCCGGTTTTCAGCGCGGACCCGGTCGAGGGCCATTTTGTGAATTGGCAAGAATTGGTGGCCTCCGGTGCGATTTCGCCATCCCGAACGTTATCATCGTCCCAAATGCCGAAGGCGAAGAGGAGGAAAAAGCCGGACCCGGCCGGCGTACGCGTCGTCCGGTCTGCCGGCCGGAAGGACCGGCACAGCAAGGTCTGCACCGCCAGGGGGACGCGCGACCGGCGCGTGAGGCTGTCACCCGGGACCGCCATCCAGTTCTACGACGTCCAGGACAGGCTCGGCTACGACCGGCCGAGCAAGGCCATTGACTGGCTCATGAGGGAGGCCAAAGCCGCCATCGACGCCCTGGACGCTGACACGCCGCCGCCGCCACCCGCCGGTTTTTTGGGGAATTACGGCCGCGCCGCCGCGAACCTCGAAATTCGGAAAATTGGGCCGGAGAACACCGCGGATTTGTCCGGTTTTGGCTGCATTCCCGGCGATTATCAGCCGGGAATTTCGCCGCCGGTCCCATTAGCGGCTTCCGATGGGATATTCGATGCGAATTTGGAACTGGGTAAAATGCAGAGGGTGTTGGCCTGGAATTACGTTGCCGGGCCGAACCATTTCGATGGGCCTGGGCCTTCTGTTTTGGGCCGCGGCCAGATCTCAAGGGAACCCCTTCAGTCCAGTTGTTCGAGAGTTGCGGATTGTGATAATCCGATGAGCGCTTTCGATTTTTCCGATGATCTGCTGCCGGATTTTGCCCCACCGGAAGAAAACGACGTGGAAGACATGTATAGAATCCCTGTTTCCGGCGAGCAATCTTCTTTTCTGCATTTTGAAGGATAAAAGAGATTAGTTTCGATTTTTTTTAGATGTATTATTTTGCATGGCGCTTGATTTTCATTTCTTGTATTTTATATTTCTCAGATTAATTCATTTCAATCGCGAAATCAGAAATATTCTGAGATGGTTGTAAGAAATGGGGAAAAACCCATTAAAAACCCACTTTCCTTATAAATTACGCATATTTTCACTGAATAAACGATGTAGGCAATTGTATATTGTAATATGGCTCTCACTTGTGAGTCCTTCCTAAAAAGTCCAAACCCATATACGGTCAAAAGTCCAAACCCAATTGAGCCAAGAAAAACGGGTACGGTATCGCACGGTCCCAATAAAATTGACTCTCATACCATGTAAAAAATGGGGGAAAATTCAGATAAAACTCAAGTGAGGTTTTATCTCAAAAATCAGTTGGTGGAATAAGTAGTAGCCCACTAGACTTCTAAATTAGGCCTATTTTTCTTAGATAAACGATGTGTGTCAAGTGTCAACTCACAAGTAAATATTCTAATAATGTTGATTATCGGAAAGTACAATCCTACGGGCAATTGGGATTTATCGATTGCATGCACTCACACACACCCATATGGATGTGTGTTCTAGGCACCAATTTAGCATAATTTTGAGCACGTTGTCTGATTTTCAATGTTGTTCATGAAGATGTGTCACATACTTGTTTATAGCAATTACCAAAGTATGATACTTGAAGTGCATTCAGTTCATTCCAATATTATTTGTGTGCTGAGATTAAACAAAGGTAAAAAACTTTAAAAAAATAAGAAAAAAAATACTAAATATTGTACTAATGTTATTTGCTCTCATTTTGAGCTGCAATATAATAGTATTGCTAGACATGGCCAAGATCTGGGTCGAGTCACGACTCGGACCGACCTGCCAGGTCGTCGGGCTCGAAAACAAGACCCGGACCCGGTACAAATCTATATTCGTACCGGGTCAATGGCCCGGTTGACCAGGCCGGGTCTGAGTCCGGGCCTGATCGTGTCCGAGTCGGGTAAAACAATAGAAAAAAAATATATATAATAAAATGAAAAGTGGGTCATCGACCCGGCCCGACTGGATCCGCCGGACCGGGTCATGAAATGGATGACCCTGACACGATTCTTCGGAAATCTGATCCGGGTTCTAAACCGTGGTCAACGGGTTTGATTGGGTCGGGTCCGAGCTGGGTCCGGGCCGAGCGGCCCTTGGCCATGTCTAAGTATTGCTTTTGGGCATGGGTGCTTTTTAGTTTATTCCCACTGTAGAAAAAGGAAAGTCAAAAGCAGAATAAGGTTTTGCTGCATTAGTCGCATTCATTACACCCAACTGTCTTGCCTTTTCTTGAGAAATGATACACACGCTCATGTCATCTTTTTTTCCTCTCTTTTTCTTTGTTTTATATATATTTTTTGCTTCACATGGTACAATGATGCATCATATTTGTGATTCATGTTTACACTAATTAAGTATATATAACATTGAAATATTTCTTTACAAATTTGGACCAGTAACTTTTTTGTCATGAATTCCGGAAAGATATAGATGTTGTTATTCCAATTGTTACCACCATTTAATAATGTTTGAAAAATTGAAAATTTTAAGTAGATGACTATACTAACTATAAGAGCATCTCAAATGGATTGTTAATTGTAGAAATGTAGAAACAATCAGTAAAAAAAATATCTCCAACCTTTAATGTCTAGATGGTAATCACAATAACGTGGTTGGAAAGAGAAGGAAAAAAGTCTAGCACTCCTTCTACATGTAGAAGTCATGTCAGACGTGATGACTCAGATTTTCCTCTCACTCCCTTCATTTGTTTTTCTTTTTATAATATAAAATAAATGGATAATGTGAAGATAGAACTCAACCACGGGAGATTTTTGTATGAGATTTTTGGGCATGTGAAGTGGGTACAAAGAATGGGCTTGTTCAGAGGGTATTTGGCCGCGAATTTGGTCATCGGGTAAGCCCGTTTCGTGCTGACATTCTTGACATTTACGAGGATCACGTTGACGGCCAATTTACGACGGTCCGCCCGTTTTTGATGACGAGCCTCCAGTTCCGGAGACACATAGGGGCGACACTTTGAGCTCCACGTGGGACATCGCCACGATTGGCCCTTCTTCCGAAAAACCATCATTTGGACCCAATTTTCGGGACATCTTAGCCAAAGATGGTTTTTGGGGGCCGAGGATGAATCCCTTGTGGTCTGTTTTCCACTTGTGTATCGTGAAATCTCCCGTCAACGGGATGACGGGCTATTATTATGAATTTGAGCGCGGCGACCGTTGTGGTATGTTTGATGTTCATTCTACTCTGTGGGATATGCGTATGGAATCATGTACGTGTGCCTTTGCATTAGCTCATTTCTTGCCCACGCTTATGTTTACATTCGATGTGGTTGGGCGTTCTTCAAGCTTCGTGTTTGATCGAGGACGAAGCGGGACACACTTCTCCAACGGGCACGAGTCGGATTCGAGGGCGAATCCTGCTCAACCGGGGGAGAATGATGCAGAAGAAATATTATTATTATTATTATTATTATTATT